TAGATATTTCCTATCCTAACATCGCTGTTCGCAGTATGGTTGATCAGTATCAAGGGCAAAATGCGAATAATTAACTTATATGAAAATATAAAAGGTAGTAATTTTTTAAGATTGCTTACGCCAGAGTACGTTAGATAATGAACTTCTACCAGGACTAGATCTTAAATGTCTGGACTTTCCTTACTCCTATTTGCATGGGGAATTTAACCATACTACGGATTCAGAGCATTTGAGCACCTGCAGATCCATCGCGCCATATTTGATCATTGCAAGTGCTTAAGTACCATGGAGACGTTGCTTGCATAAACAGCATTCCACTTGACAACTAGGAGCAAGGAGCAGTGCAGTAGGATGTAAGTTCTGATAGTTTCGACTCATGGTGTCATATATCAGAATTTTTATGCTATGGAAGACGTCAGCATTGACTAGAATCATAGCAGACTACAATTTCTGGTTAATACATAAACAACGGATTATGCTGATTTCATATCCCAACACCTGCTAATTATCGCATTCAGTAAACGGCTATCAGGTAAGTCAAGGTGAGTTGCATCCGCATGATACTTTTGCATTAGATAGCATGGATGTACAATTCGTTTGCTGGCTATGACAACAGCAGAACACTTGGATGTCGCTGTATGCAAGTAAGGACCTGCTATCTGTTTCCCGGTTGGTTGCACTAAAGCTATATACGGCATATTTTTTGCTCATGGGAATTCTTTGCAAACTGTTCCTCTGATGGAATCGAACCCGGCACCTCCCGAGTTCGAGGTCAACCTGTTACCACTGCAATATCGCGCCTCAACAAATGAACAAACCGTATTGCGGTTTGTTAACGTAGTCACTCAGAAAGAATGACCAAAGCAAACCGCTTCATTTAGTACGATTCAATATCAAAATACCTCTGGATTTGGGACGTGTCACTGACGTTCCTGACAATTTCGATGGTTCATTGTAATTGGCAAAAGTCAATTTAAAGGAAACTAACAAAAATCACAGGATTGACATATATGAAGGTAGAAATTATGCATTAAGTGATTTACATCCTGTGAATATTCATCTCTACCCGACTCTGAGAGACAGGGGCACCCGTAAAGAACGCATAAAAGGCGCAGAAAACCACTGATCCATCCCGTCGTCGCGAATGACGACACCCACACCCAGCTACTTTCGTTTAAAGACAACATGGAACGGTTGGTGGTATACACGCACCGCTCTGCTCAGTGAATAATGGCAATAGAAGTGAACAACCGTTCGTCATTGGAAACAGTTGTTCACCTGATTTTATGTGGTTCGTGACTAGATCAAATTAGTTGCCTTAATTACTGAACAAGAAACGAGCTCTGGTAGGTTCTGAAGTCGACTTCAGATTTAACTGGAAAATTAAACGTAATTTATACTGTATTTCACACAAATATAAGACCGTCAGCTGTTTGAGAAACTTGGTTGTCATGCTTGCTTGTCATGGCCACTGACAATGTGACCGCCGTCCAACATGACCGTCCGGAACTGTCTTTCCACCATCAAAAACTACTGAATTGCTGTAACTTCGTAAAGAGAATTTATTTGAATCGATTCGTATGAATTACTGAACATATCTACATTATTCGAGTAAATCAAAACTGAGCATAAGAAAAATTATTGCCCATAAAAATCATCACCAGGTCCTCAAATGTAAGTACGGAATAGAGTGAAATCGACAGAGCACTGCTTCAAAGAAACGTGGTTCGATCTGCATAAGGAACAGCTCTGAAATTTCCGATTTTCTTCCCGTCTTTGTCATAGTTGAATTCGCGAAAGCATCTGTCGCACATATGAACAATTGGCCCTGGCATTCGATCGCCATCTTGTACTATCCATCTTAAATACAGTATGATGAAATGAATGCATACACAAAGGGTAAAATTTTGAAGTACATTTTATATCAAAAACTTTGAATGCTATAACTACACGAACTGAAACATGGGAGCTACGTACGGTCGATAGCATTTCATACTTTCTTTATAGCCTCCTCCCAAAGTCATGATGCAGAGCTCGCATTATAATCTAATTACTCGTAATAGAAAGCGGATCATGTCCAAAATTTTGAATCATATTTCAAGCTCCCTTCGATTTGCGGATGGCATTCTCACTGTCTCAAGGTCACCAGATGAACCCCAGCGAAGAATCTAAATTTTGAACGATTTCATTATGGTAGGACGGAAAACGAACATGAAAAAGATCCAGGTGATGGTAAAAAATACATTACCGCGCGACATGCTGGGGTTAACTGTCAAAGGCTTGAAGAAGTGCAAAACTATCTCTATTTGGGGCATCTCAATTTTGCAACGAAGAATCGAATCTGCAAACTCAACATATGAAAAAATATTACATGAAGCACTTTTTGAAGGTTGAAAACGCTTTTATCCAGGAAACTGTCTTTATGACTGCAATAGAAAGTATCGATCAGTGCCTGCTCCCTGTGCTAACCTAGCAATTCATAAATCGCACAATATGGAGCACAGCAGGACACGTAGCAACAACAACCGACCACTGCTTTACCAGAGATACACTAGGCTGGGCTAAGAGAATAAGCGATCCATAGAAAAGCCTCTAGATCGAGGGGAGAATGCATTGAAGAAGTTCGATGAATCAAAAGACGGAAGAAAATGGCGGAAAAACGAAGTTAGCAGCAAAATCTTGGAGACACCTTTAGCCAGTGGTGGATAGACAAAGACTATGGATGGTCAAAAGAGAAGCACAACATACTTTTGAGCTCACCTTCTGCGGTAATGATAAATAAGCGGATAAGAAAATATACTACAGCAATGACACAATTTCCTTAACGGCAGCGACTGACCCACTGATTCAGACCATTTTGAAAACCAGTATAGGGAATGTTCGTTAAACGCCAATTCTACTTACATTAACTTGACATGTCAAATTGAAATCAAAATTGCAGGAATGGGGATATCACAGGAAAGAGTTGGAAACAGTACGTTGGTGAAACCACAAGGAAGGCAGCTTAAGGGTAGACCATTGACCGTATAAATAGATTATTAAGATGGCTTGGCACTGTCACGACTTATAACCCAAACAAATGAACTAAGACCAATAAAATTGTATGCGTTCTGAAGCAGCAACTCGGCGACCCAAAGGAATAGCACACTTTGAAAATGAGTCAACAATCTTAGTGCTGTCTACAAAGAAGTAACAAACTATTTGCGCCAGTGCCGCTCTCACCCATTTTTACACCACCCTGCCGCAATGCAGAGTCACACATCCAAAACCCTCTGCTAAAATCACCTACACTACTCTAATTCATTTGAATTGCTTTAATTGGAATCATCTTGCAAACAATTCATCTTGGACAGGTTTCACTGCGACAAAAAGGAAATGAAAGCTAGATCAGTTACCATAAAACTAAAATCAAAGTACTGCATTTTTAAAAGTAGTGGGCGAAATAAAAGCATTTAAAAAAGAGAAGAATTTACTGATTCTTCAAAACAAAAAAAAACTTTCGAAAATGACTTAAACATCGATAGATACCCGCGCTCCATAGACATTTACGGTCAGACATGCTTTTGTGAAACAAGTGAAACGTTGCTTTATTACGCGAATCGAACGCCACGACTGACAGAACTCCTCAAACGGTTCTCATGGCATATACGCACGATCATTAATGAATCAGGTGTTATTATGCAAATTAATTACTTCCATTCTGTCAACAAATAATCAGTCACATATAAAAAAATATGACTTATAGGATTTCCAGACTGGTTTATTTCTTAGACGGAATGAACAAACGAGGAAACTTCTAGAGTTTTCGATTTCACCAAATAACCGTTACCAAAAAAACATCTGGAATGGTGATTTCTGTTACGCGGATAGGCTTCGCTCAATTACAGACTCGATTTGTCAAACGAATAGACACAATCATTACAAACAATGAAAATGCGCATGTACCTACCCAGCGGTCAAATTCTGACAAGCAACACAAACTGTACGTTTCCTGGATTTGCGAGACAGTGAGATAGGGTATTCTGCAATGTTTTGCGGGCTATCGGCGTGTAAGGCCCTTAACAAGACATCATTTAGAGTAAAGGTAAATATATAGGTGAGAAATACCTGAGATCTGAGAATAACATCAAATGCTCGCAGTCGCCTTGATGTTTATACACATAAAACTGACCAAGTCTTAAAGTGAGATCTATGAACTTCGTCTCTTGCATTTTCGCCTTTTTAAACGGGCCCACTTCATCTGAACGCCGTTTCGCCCACTCCATGATAACGCTAAATCAGCGATTTAAATCTCAACCAGTTGAGTTAAGAATGAACATTACTTACTCGCTCAGATCAGTCGCACCAGGAACACGCGTGTCGTTATAAAACGTTCCCTCGATGTAAAAAAATCCACCTGGAAAACGTTCCTAATAAAAAAAATCTGTACTAAATACTAAATCTATACTTTCGCAATTTCGCCAAGTGAGCAATCAGTAAAACTCATACTAAACCAAAAATATACATAACAATAACGCATCATGATTGGCATCATATGGTAAAAACCCCTACCTTTCTTGTAGTATTCGGTATATTATCTGGATTTTCACTGCAATCCTCAAGGACTTCAAGATCGCAAACACATGAGATCTTGTCCCTCAACTCTGTCAGATACTGTTGGCCACGCACCAGAAAAATGTAATCAATACGACCCTGTAAGAAATCAAAAGTACAGTCACATGCGAATAACGGATATGATCAACCATAAAAAATAAATAAATAGTCAAAATAAACACTGCTAATTCGGTTCGATTTCAAAGAAGGCTATAGTCTGAGTGACGCTTTGCCCCACAAAATACATGATGTTGCCAAGGCAGGTGATCATGGCACATTTTGCTCACATACTCTTTCTGGGCTATTCGCGCATTTGATACTGGAATGTTCCTCTGTTTACCCAAATGTGACAACCCCCGCATCACTATCCTTAAACAGGTTCGGATCTGAATAAACGAATCTTGCCCAGTCCAACTAATGGTAGGGTGCTGCAATACTCATGTCAATCCTACGTCTGCTATCTGGCCGTGTCATACGTAGATGAAACTGTTTCTTGATCAGCGACTGGTGATAAAACTTTACTTACAGGGGAAAACTCCCGCAAAATTCCGACTCATGCACCTCATCGTGGTGTGGGAGTGGCAACAGCTAGAGCGTCAAAGCACGGCGAATCACGTGCCTGGCAGTTCCTAGCAAGCCGGGACGACAGCACGGCATCATTAGGCGGCTAAGCATAGACTAGCACTGACAGTCTGGACCAGCGACTGGTAAATTAACTGGTCCAACAATCATGACAGAAGAAGAAAAGAACATGGTCCCAAGTACCCTGCGCACCATTCGGACCGGTCTCCGGCTGCAGGTCGGCAATCGAAGGACCAGTGGCTGCTAGGAATCTCAGGATGTCCCAAGTCATCAAAAAGAAATGGACCTCAGATCACGATATGCATTTAAAATTTTAGGTCGCCGTCGAGAAATGAAACATCCCATCAGAGAAATTAATATAACGTCTTCCAATGTCCTCCAAGTCTCCAAGACACGAAGAAAGTCACAATTCAACGCAACCTGGTGGGATGGAAACATGATTCCTTTGGGTAAAGGAGAAAGACAGAGGAACATAGGCGGAATCGGGTTTATCGTGAACGAG